CAAGCTTTGAAGTCAACTGGACTCTGTCCAAATCTGTGCAGTAACTTCCCTAAAACTCTATTTCCTTATGTACAAAATGAGAAGAGTTGTATCTGTACCTTATCCTTTTGTTAGGAGGATAATTAAGAAAATGATTCTGAACATGCAAGCAAAGTGACTAAGAGATAGTAAATTCACAATAAATGTTAGGTAGTACATTATCATAATTATTATTATCACTTTTCTCATAACACTGAATCTATTTGATTTTTAACTGAAGAGTAGCTTTCCATGTTAGTCTCTTTCCTGCAACAAGATGTATATATATATTTTTTTTCTGAAATTGGGATCATCATTATATGAGGAGAAATTTCTAAAAACCAGGATGACCAGGTAAAATAGTTACGAGTGTAGTATGCTAAGAAAGGAAGTCTCTTAAGTTGATCAACTTTCCAAGTGGAACTGATAAATTTAAGTTTTTAAGAGGACAAAAAATGCAAACAATGTTTTAAATCTTCTCTATGTCACAATTTTAGATATCTCCATGGAATCTAGCAAGTATGAGTTTTAAAGGAGTGGAAGTTTAATTTTCAAAATGCTAAATGTCTGCAATGCTTCCTTGGTGTGAATGAGTACTTGGAGATGGTAAAACCAAGTCAACTAGAAAAAAAGTATAATTAAAACATGGAGAGCCCTTTTACTGTGTGCATGGAGGATCATCTTTTCTTTTTTCTTTCTTTCTTTTTTTTTTTTGTATCAGGGAATGAACTCAGGACCTTGCGCTTGCAAGGCAGGCGACAGAGCCCCTGAGCAAAATCTGTGGCATGGGCCATCTTTTTATCATTTCATAAAATGAATGCCTTAAACATTCTATCCAAAATTCTTGCTATGGAAAATCCAAGGGCCTCCCATGAACCTAGCAGTGTGAGGCAGTAAAGACTCTAATCATCCCCTCTGAGCAACAGCCAGCATAGGAAAGTCCAGGTGCTCTCTGGCTGATATAGAACCACCTGCACACATGAATCAGCCTGGAAGGGTCATTCTCTTCTTCACAACTCTACTTAGCTGTAGAGTTGTGTCCTTCCTTTATGTAATTCCATAGAAAGGCAAACAAGATACTATGGGAGTCATTTCCTACCTCTTGCTTTGTACCTGAACTTCAAATGTGTTTGGTTAACCATCTATTTATCTCTTCTCTGTCCCTTAGGTGGCCTTTCTACTCTTAGTCCTTGCCATGGTAGCAGTGGGTCAATGAGACCTAGCACTGTGTGATAAAGGAATTCTTCTAAGTGTCTATAAATTTAGTTCATCAGGTGCATTCACTGCCACTCCCTTTCTATGCCAACTCTCCTTCCATTGGATAATGAAAAATTGCATGTATCAGACTAACACACAGAAACTTACCACCTTCCCACCCTCCAGATGCTGAGGCCCCCCCAGAAAAAGAAGAGAGAAAGAAGAGAGAGAGAGAGAGAGAAAAACAAAGAAAGAGAAAAAGAAATGGAGCATGAACTCCAATTTTTGTTTTCTATGTCAATTAATTTTTTGTCAGTCTGTACTACCGTTCTTACTGCTGACCACGGGAGAGGCAGCCAGCTGAATCAGTGCTGGGCTGTTTTTCCCATGTGTCCAAACGAGTGGAGGAGGAATAGGCCATGCATCTCACTTGGCATGAAGTTACCTGATATGAAGGTGGTACAGTTATATCACATGTGTACATGTGTGATGAGTCTGTTAACTTACTCTTCTCTAGGATACAGAGTAATCAATCATAATTGTGTGACAGTGCACATGTATCCTTGCCAACACATATGGCAGTGCTTACAGAAGGTAATACCTCTAAGCACTATAAAACATCAGCACACATTTAAAGTGTGTAGTGATTGAGCTAAAAACTTGATAAATAGTTAAACTTGAAACAAGCATGGCCTCGTTGTCTTTTAAAATTAAGTAAGTCTTTTAAGTGCACTGTGCAGCCATGATAGGAATAAACAAGGAACCTGTTTGGAAATGAAATGAGAAAGCAATGACACATTGAAGACAGAACTGGATTTCCAACAACGCCAAAGTCAATCAAAGGGAAGTACCTGTGAATTTCCTTAAATGACTTCCTGCAAGGTATTGTGTGGTAACTATATTACTATAGCTACATTTTTTGCATTAATTACTATTGTTAAAGGGAAGTTTACTACGGAGTTCCTAAGAGCCACAGAAATAAATCCCCTTCAACTAAGTAGTCTAATAAGCTATTTAGGATCTTACCACTTAACATTCTTTCCTTCCCATTTAATTTCAGCTTTCACTTGGATGTCAACTTGTTGACCATCCATCACAGAAAACTATGTGAAAGAAAGATAACATGGCTAAGTGGTCCCGATATTAAAAAACCAGCAGAACCAGAATATTTTTTCTACATCACTGTAAGATTTCTTTTCCGTAACAGTTCAGCTATTTCCTACTAGAAGCTAATATATGAAAATATATGAAAATGGTCAATATGCAAATTCACATATCACACTAGATACTTGCCTTCAATAAGTGCTATATGCATAAATTTGAAACAATACAATGTTTTAAGGTGCTTGATTATAATAATGCCTTAGTGTGCATATGTGCATGTATAATTATGTTCATTTAATTTAATCATGAAAATATTATAGGATCATTTGGTTTTCTCCTCCAAAAGTTCTCTCACTTTTTTCAACTAATTAATTCCACACTGCTCCATCTATAAATCAGCCAGTGGTAAGCAATGCATGTTGAGCTGTCGAGGAATATGGTGACAGTCCTATGCAATTATGGACAGAAAGATGGCAGGCACGGAGGTGGCAGCCTCTGACTTAGCATGTATCTAGTCCTGGAACAATGATAAGCTTCTCAGTAGTTCCTGGTCCTGGAAATACCTGAATGCTATATTCATTTCTTCCTGTAAATCCTCAATGCCCTTGAATGTTGAGAATTTGCCCTGCGGCAGTCACCTGATTACACAGAAGAGACTTGGAAAGCAGCCCCTGTGACCCACACATTCCACATGCTTGACTGGAGGGCACCTTTAGGAACTCCACAGGGTTACTGGAATCTCATGGAGTATACTGAGGGTACAAAAGAGTGGAGGACATTAAACTTAACCAGGCACTAGGAGAACAAATAAGACCACAGTAAATAGGACAGAATGGGCCACAGAAGAGACAGATCCCAACATGAAGGTTATGACATGTTATCCTCCTTCTCCAAAGAAATTATATTTCCTCTTCATGGAAAAATTATGCACCTTTTCCCCAACGTGCTAACAGAGACAAGTGAAAAGAAACAGCCTGCTTTGTGCCCATCAATGAAATCTATACAGCATCTTTTCCCCCAGGGATTAATTCAGATTTGATTAAATCTTTCTGAGATTTAAATCATGATGTTGCAAACCTCCAAGGAACTCTTCTTGAGTTGTGACCTTCTTTATAACTCTCTGCTGTTTGATAAAGTACAAAGATTGATTTATAGTGGGTATAGTGTGTTTGAAAACAAGGAACAGCAAGAAGAATCACAAAACATGAGAATATAAATATTGAAAAATATACATTTTGGTTAACATATTCTATAATTAATACTGAGTCATAATGGTGTATCTAGGAACACCAGTGTCAAATGAGCATAATAATGTTATTAGGGCTATAAATTATATCTAATGATTATCTAAATAACCCTACTTTAAAAAAAAGAAAGAAAAAAGAAAACTGGCAACTCAAAAACACTTTCAATTCAGTACCACATTGTATACAGCTTAGATGGATTTAGTATGGAGAACCATTGAAATGAGACAGATTCATTTTAAGAAACTACTCATATCCAGTGTTCATTTAATTCGGGTTCCAATAGTTATTTTTGACATTAATATCATCAAGGATAGAAGTGATTTGATGTTTGGAGAACAACATGAAATGAATCCTTTATCTCTCATAGGTATGTTCCAGTATCAAAGTAGTGGCTACTTCCGCCTCTTAAAATCCTTCATTTTTTTCTGTTTTCTTTCAAAGAGTTTATTAGAATAAACAGTTATGCCTTTAAGGAAGACTTGCATTATGCTACTATCCTTGCTATACAAGTCAAGCAAAAGTGAAAAGAAAGTCAGGATCTGGCTTATCCACTGGATCCTGGGATCTTAGTAACCACAGTTGTGTGTGAATGCACTATTTGCATGACAAAATAGTACTTTTTAACTTTTTATATTGATAAAATAAATGACACATCTCTTCCTTACTGCTATAAAAGCTATAAAATAGAAAAGAGCCACCGGGAGTGCTCCTTAAATTACTTAGCAGATTTGAATGCACTGCTGGTAGCGCTGTCACATTATAAACATTCTTTTCTCCTAGAACATTTGAGGGAGGGAGGCGCACAACATATTTATTCACCTTTCCTCAGAGCCAGGTTTGTGCTGCATTTTGAAATACAAGTGACTGAGAGGAAAGGACCATCTGAAATCAGGGGAGAGCAGGGTTAATAATGTGTTCTCTGTCATTATGACCACCACCACCAATGCCGGATGGCCTGGCAGCGAGACGTGTGGACAGCTGTGTAACTATGTAACCACCCCATGTGTAACTGGATGACTTACATAGGACCAGGGATTACAACCTATTACACATCTTTGAGAAATATGCAATCCATCTCCTACACTGAATATTTAGCATATTTCTTCCTAGGGGCAATAGCTTCTACTTGAAAATACACACATCCCTAGGTTAAGTTCAAAAATGGAGGCAATCCATTTGATAAAGTCCCATGTCACTTTTCACCTCTGAACGTTGATTATAGCAATCGCCACATCTGCCTTTATGGATTGAAAGAAGTCAAGTAAAACACAGGAGGTACATATTTCCTTAGAGCTGAAATGCATCCATGAATATGGAGAAAGCAGAGAGAGAGACAGAGAGAGAATGGAATGGTAATAAGCAAGTGATATGTACTGATGATCTGAGAAACATACCAGCAGTTTGGTTACGATAAATAAGAAAAGCAGAGGTAGATTTGAAACATTCGTTTCCCTTTATTAGCTCAGTGAGGCTGATGTGTACTGCACATTTAAAAAAAATCACAGGAATTTTCATACAATGAATAAAACCACAACAATACATGTAGAATTGGCAGGTGGAAAAAAAGCCCAGCAAGGGCTTAACTAATCTCTCACTTTCCATCTTCAGCATAGTTCAACCAACAGCATTACACTTTTACCTACAAACCTTAAAGTAGCTCCATCAAATCAGCAGTTCACATTATTGAAAATGTTTGTCACATAGGTACAAATTTAGAATCATCACATTATATTACATGGCTATTCTAGGTCATCTATGGATCAGGTCTTAGACTACAGTGATTGAAGTTCTCGTTACAGCCATCAAAAAAGGACACATAATCATTACCTACTGTAAGCTCACATCTAAAGGCATGAAAAGGTTTCCTTTTTTCAACTGACCCAAACGTCATAGTGCAAAGTTCCCTCTTTGCTGCTCTGAATGTTGACAGCCCAAGTTGTTCTCAGAGTCGTTTAGCAAAAATTGATTTTGTTGCATTGGAAGAATTATTCTGTTACATCTCTTTAAAAAAAACCCCACATTTCTAAAGCACCAGTTCGATTACCAAAATTGTAGATGTGGTACTTACCACAGCATGAAGGCAATGGCCGTGGTCATCTAAAAATCCTACAGATCTATGCTGAAATTTGCCTCCAGTGATGATGGGATGCACATGTTCGTTTGAAATATTCTCTCCCAAAAAATTATTAGAAAATAAAAATAACAGGAAAACAGCTTACATTTTGATGGGCTACCCACAGTGTGTGCATAAAATACAAAAGCTTCACTAATTTTAGATGCAATTTGAAGTTCATGGAGGAAATCTATCTTCATGGTAACAATATTTGTTAGGCCACAGGGGGATAAATTAACCCAAAACATGGAGTCTGTAGTGTTGTCTTTTGATAAGTAAGAAAAGAAAACCAAGTATTTCACTCATGTCAATAAGCCAGGGCAAAAAGGAGAATGTATTTAAAATTGGATCACAAAAATTTAAAGGCAAAATAGAGAACGCATCTGGTCCTTGAACACATAATAGGATTTACTAAATATTGATTTCTTAAAAATAATTTATTGCTCTTAATAGTCTTTATTATTCTACAACAGAAGATACTCAAAATTCGGAAAGAAAGACTGTAAACTTTAGTTTGGCGTTCACAAAGAGTTAAAATATCTGCATTTAACCTACAGAACAACAAGAATTAGGCAGATTAAAGATATGTTACTGTTGTAACGCAGAACCTGTGAACAAGTTCTTTTATTTCATAGTATTTTTATTGCTTTCTATCTACTTAGAAATAAGAAGCCAAAAAGTCAAGCAAGCATCCGACAGGACAGACAGTGGATTCACTCAGAACACAATATGCTGGTGATAAATGAATGCAGCTCTCAAAATTAGCTGCATTGGCCTGGGGGTGAAACCGATTTTGTAAGATCATGTTGGGTGAGAGAAAGGAAAAGAACAATTAAGTAGTAGGTATATCATATCTTCCTGAAAAGTCACGGCAGCCAAACAGGAATCAAATCTGGATTGAGAAACTTGAATACACACTCCAAACTTTAGTGAATTCCATTCCAGGGACTCCACACTCAGATGAAATCCTGATGCTCAAAATAGAGGGTTTTTTTTTCTGAAGTTTTTTATTGAATTTAGCAGAAGCAATGTCATCAAGAACAACATCATGGTCACGTCAGAGGCCATGCTAGTGCAATAGGAACACTGCTTCTGCAAAAGCTGAGTTTCCCAAAGGAAGAACTTACACTCCAACCTGACAATTGCCATGCATCCTAGGTAGAAAATTTCCACTGGCTTTATTATTTTCTTCATCTCATAATTTATAATAAATAGGCTATCTGCAACTGATAAATATGTCTCTTTAGTAAACAAAGGAATGAAATATCAGTATTTATACAGGATGCATAACTGTAAAAAATACAGATAAATACCATCATCATACTCTGCCAAGGGAAAGAGATACTGGCTTCAAAGATAAGTCTTCAGACACACATTGATTATTGTAAAAATCATACTGTAATTATTACCTCAGCATTTTGTATCAAATTAAAATCACAAAAAATTAAAACAAAACAGCATTTTAAAAAGATTTTTTGACCTCTAGTTTCAAAACTACTGTTGATAGAGAAAATAAAAACATTTCTTAATGGTTACCCATTGAGAGACTTTACATAAAATCATGATATCTTCTAGAAAAATTTTAGATGAGAAAATTTCATTCCCCTAACAAATCCAGTGTATAAAACTTCAAAGAAAAACAAGCAACAAGAAAATGTGGAAAAATATCGCAGAAGTGGTTAATACCTTTAGGGGACCAGGATATTTTCGGACAAGATGCTTAGATCGAAGCTCTAAGAAGGGATGGATGTGTGTAAAGCATCATTTTGTTGTAGTTGCACTCAACGGACACACACACTGTCTTTTGTTTTGTTTTGTTTTGTTTTTTTTACAATCAAATATATATAAGCAGTAAGTTCAGCTTCTAAATATGTTAGTGTACAATAATTGTTTCACCTCATAATTACATTTGAATATTCTTGATTAAGAAAAATTTAGCAGTTTTGAAAAGAAGGCTGCATTTACAGTGCATAGCTGTAACAAAAAAGAACATTGTTGTATTATATGTACATAAAATAAAAATACTCCATTTAACATCTGTAAATACTCAACTACATCAGAGAATGTAGCAATTACACTATCTGAACACATCCAGAGAGTTCTACTCAACTCTCATTAGCAATGTAACACCACATCCGCTCCTCACAAAGAATTGCCCAGCAAGCTGCACGCTTGACCACTGACAAGGCTGTTAAAATTTGCAGTGGAAAGTCAACATTTTGGACATTTACATGGGTGTCAGGTCAAAGGATGAACTACAGAAACTTCAAAATGTTAGGAAAGTTTAGCATTCTGGTGCCAGCAGTATCCTCTCCCACCCAGATTCCATGGCAAAAAGGAAAAAAGAAGAGAAGACAGAGGGAGAGAGAGAGAGAGAGAAACAGGATATTAGTTCTATGGAACCTGTGGTTTCTTCAGGATTGTCATATAATCGTTAACGTTACAAGAGAAAGCTTGCTTCAGGTTGATTTTGCACTTTCTTAAAAAACAGAGTAGAAGGCTGATGACCGGACATCAGCAGCTGTCATCTTAGGGTGGTTGGTGGTTGGTTGGTTAGTTTTCTTTCCTTTTCAATTTATATATATATATATATATATAATTTTTTTTTCCTTTTGAATAGAATATGAACATTTTGAAGTTCTAGGTTTTAAGTGTGTCTTCATGGAACTGCTGCCATTTGAAGTGCTTTGCTCTTGCAAGTTCTGGTCAGGTGCCCCCAATCCACACACGCACACACACACGCACACACGCACACACTTTCCCCAAACCAAATAAACACATATACACAACACACACACACAAACACACATGCACACACACACACACTGTCACCAAGTGACTCCAGGGAAAGCAAAGCCAACACCCATGAATAAACATGTGCTTACTGGATATCATTCTGTCTCTTGCCTCTTCAGCAGCTGTGTTCATGTAAACCATTGTTGTTGTTCTTCTTCTTCTTCTTGTTTGTTGTTTTGTATTGTTGTATTGTTGTTGCTTTGTTTTTGTACAGAGAGTGTAAAGTAGGAGAATTTCCTAAGTATGACTTTTAATAGTCTGTCCAGGAAGGATGCGTAGTCTGTGAGGTATTCACCATCTCTCTGTCATCCTCAGCCAGGGAACATGTTACCTGCGCAAGCTTCTCTGAGCTTCTTTCAGTAAACTATCAAAATCCAGCGAGTCATACTTGCTCTTGGTGGAAGCAGGGTCAAAGTCATCTGAGTTTGAATCTGAAAAAAACCCAAGCCAGATTAGATGCACCTTTTGCAGATGGCCATGAATGCAATCATTGCAATTCAAGATTGCCTGATTCAACTGCCCCTTGTCCAATTGATACACTTTAAAAAAACAATGCCCAGATTTTCCTGGATACTACATGTATAAATGCTGAGGACAGAGTGGTGGAGCTTTCAAAAACATGTACCTATTGACTCATTTGAAATTGAAACACTCTGGGGAGGCAAGCAACACAGTCTTTCACCTGCTAGGCAGTCACTGTCCTGCCTCTAGCATGCTAAGTAACTTGCTTAGGATTCCTCAATAACCCAGATATGGAAGTCCAAGGAGAAGCTGGAAGCAACTTTCCTGTTCAATTGAGTTAGCTTCATTGAGTATGAAAGCAGGTTGAATGGAAGGAAAGAATCCTTCCAGAACATCCCTTAATCCCCAACTGCTACTGCCCATTGAGGCAGAAGAGATATAAAATCAGTCTCATCATCTATCCCAATATTACTATCACCCCAGCAAAAGAGGTGTAAACTCTCCCCGAATTACAAGGTCCAGTGTAATACTTCCCATTCTGAGATAGTACTTCCAATTTCTTTGCTCATCAATACGAGAGAATAAATATGCAGTTTTAAATAAAACTACGCTCTTTCACGGAACCTTAAATTAGTCCAAGTCATGTTGAACTATATGCCATATGCTACTTTGAATGATCCTTAGTAAAATAGATGTACTTTAGAAATGTTGGGTACAAAGTTCGGTTCTGTTAAATACTTCTGATTTTTCTTCATTTGACATCTATGGAAAAGTCAAATATTTCTTTGCTGGTCTTACAAGTGGGAAGAGTGGCATACAAATAAAATCATTTGCAACATACTCATTCTTTGGAACATCATTTGAAAGAAAACAAACATTTTTGCAATACATTGATAATTATAATAAAATATAAGCATTCCTGTGTTTTTCCCCAGAGGAAGTTATAATAGAAATCCTCAATGATAAAAGAATGTAAAGTAGCTAAAAGGGAAATACAATCATCGACACAATGAAAATTGTTCAACAAATACTGCTGCTCCAAGCTCTTCAACACCAGCATTATGTTCTGTCCCCCAACCTTCAATCAACTTTCACTGTCTTAGATCTAATGACAAAGAAACTCTTTTACTTATTTTTTTCTTTCATTTCTACCACTCTTTTTCTAGTGACTTTCTTCCAGGAAGCTTTTCCAGGTAAGAACAATGACTACAGTCTTCTTACAGACACTGAAGTAACCAAAACTATCTTCAACACTGACTTCAAAGCTATCTTCAGAACTACCTTAAACAGAGAATGCTTAGATGATTCTAACTTCTACCTTTCTCCTCATGGCCTAATGAATACTAATATTACTAAAGCTTCAGAGCAGCTGGTGTTCAAATCAAAATCTTTTTTCAGAGACAAAAGAGCAATGTCTAGCACAGTGTAAGAGATCAGTCTGAAATCAGAATTCCATTTGCATCATAGATTGGGGTGGAATATGTTCTAGGTGACGATAGTATGACAAAAGGCTGTACAAAACATCAAGAACATGTGCATATATATTTTTTTGAAGGGGATACTGAAAATGATTAATTTCCCTAACTTCAGATTATTCAACGTGAAACTTATAATTTTACTGTTTCTGTATTTCCATTAGCAAGTATTGAGATTATTATTCAATAAGTACTTCCCGAGATCTTCTTAACTATGAAAAAGCATGTGCCTATGTACCCACTTGCGCAAGCGCATTGTCTAACATAGAAAATCTAATTTACTGCATGAGATAGAAAACAGTCACATTCAGTTTTTGAGGCAATCACAGCCACTTCACCACATTCTTTCCCCTTAACAGAAAGATGTTGGAACACATTAAAATAAAAGACAGATGTTATAAGAATACCCTGCAAGCCGCTAATTATTTTTGAAAAAGAAATGGTTATAAATAATGACACCATATTAATAGAAACAAATCGCATAACATTTATATTCCTAGTGCCTAGAAAAACACATGGCACAAAGCAGGTACTCAAATTAATTTTTTTCAAATGACTATATTAATCTCAAATCTCTATATGGTATTAAAACTATGGTTGCTGGGATCTGAGAGTGATTAGCAATAAATGCCAAGGGTGTGTGTGTGTGTGTGTGTGTGTGTGTGTGTGTGTGTGTGTATTCAAGATGCTGATGATGCAATACTTTTTAATTAATAAAGAATTCATGATAAATATATCATTCATCTTTTTATGCTGAAACAAAAGTTCTCCATCATAACTCTTTCCTGGTCAAAACTTCTATTCATAATATGGACCAATTCTTCTATTCCAATCCTACACTTCCAATATAGCTTCTCTATTTTTCCTCTTTAACATTTTTGCCCATTTTTGAAATGATCACTTGTTTATAAGAGAAAACAGAAAAACACGCAGGGTAAAGATTCACATTAAACTAACCTCAAATCCTCATTTCACTCTGGTAGTCATATTAAACTTTCAGCTTATTTGTAAAACTAGCTCACGAGTAGAAGGTGAAATCATTATGTTTTACTGTAATAACATTATAATAACCATTAGCTGTTTTCAATAGTACAGAAATAGGATATGTGAGTTAATTTCATTTAGAGAAGCAAATAAAAAAGGAAAAACAAATTGGTGAATCTGCCTAAAATAATAGGTCACTTTAATGTCCTGGTAAAATTAATCCGTATCACATCATTTTTACTTTGCTCTTAATATTCATCTAAGTTCCCAATCCTTTCAAGAGCTCAATATATTGTGAAATTCACCATACTAAGTGCCTGTGTGTGCTCTTGCCCTGCAGAGAACAAGAACAATACATGTGAGAATTCCACTGAGTTCCAAAGCTAGATTCTGGAGCTCCTTCTTCTATTGTAAAACATCTCTAAGTTTCTGATTTTTCATTTCTACTATTTTAATCACAATCTGAGCTACTATTTATTGATCTCCTATAGTATGCCAGACACTGCACTAAGAGCATCACCAATAACCACAGCAACATTGTAAAAGCCTTTTACAAAGGAAGACTGGGAGCTCATGGAACTGAATTGTTTGTCTGAGATCAGTGAGGGCCAAGTTACCAACCCAGGTGATCAGGATTCCAATGCTTGGGAGCTCTTTTTCACACCACTATACCTACAGTCAGAAAAAGAACCTTGTCCCACCACTGCACAGCTGGAGGGAACTGGAAACCCCATTTTTCCGCAATGCATACCAAACGTCCTTTGCAGAAAATGCAGAGTGAGTTTAGCAATGGGAAAGCTTCTATTGCTGCTGGCTAGGCAGGGAGATAATGAGAGGGGAACGTTCTTCTTAGAAATATTTCAGGGAGGCGCCAGTTCAGTTTGGAAATTCCATCCAATCCTCCCTCTTCCATGATGAATCATGATCTAAAGGCCCCTCTAGGTAGCTTATTTTAAAGTCTAGATGCTGTGAGAGAGTAGAAATACCCTGGCCTTCACCACCGAAGAAAATAAGTCAAATCAACTCAAGGCTTTAATCTGTCTTGACTGTTTTTATCAGCCAACATTTGAACAAATGACTTGCCACATTTTATATTTTCATCCCTAGGCTTCTACCTTTCTACCAGTCCGCTGCCTCTCCCCTCCTTCACACTATCTATTTAGCTTGTGAAGTGAATTATAGCATATTCCCTCTGAACAATGCACACCACCTATATCAATTACTCCGGGAAGACATCACCATGTTAAAAGGGAAAAAAATAAACCCTCATAGCTGATATTCATTTTCTTCTTTACACCATGCTAGGGCAATGGCACACAGATATCTAATAGTGCTGAGGAATAGATGCATGTTAATTTTATTAGTGGTATAAATTAATTTAAAAACTATGTCATATACACAAGGATTTGCTAGTTTTTTTTTCCCCTCATTTGTTCCTCAAAGAATTAAAAGGCTTATCATACATACATTAGATAAGGAATGACATGTGAAGGAACAAAATTAAAATTGGAAAGGAAATTAAGATGTCTGTTGTAGCATTATTTATAATTCCAAAAAATTAAAGAATAATACATGCCTAGTCATAATGGAATTATGGAATTAAATGTAGCCATACAGTTTATCTAACCACATACTGTGCAGACATTAAAACTGTCAACAAATCACTTTTAATATGTGTATCACAGCAGTAAATGAATTTATATAATAATGTTGAGAAAAGTAGACTTTAATATATGCATATACCTATGACCTCATCTATAAGAAAGTACACATTCCTAGATAAAAGGCAACTCATTACTTAGTAACAGCAGTTATCTTTGAATGATAGGTTTATAGGTAATTTTGCATTTCTTTCTAGTACTGGTTTATCTTGCAAATGTATGTTACTTCTTCAGTCTGTATGATTTTTTTAACAGGCAAAACATATATTTATGTATGCTTCATTTTCATTATCTGTAAAATTAGGAAGATAATATTAACATTCACCTCCTTATTTGGTAGCCAAATGAGAAAACATTTGCAAAGCTCTAGTACAGGGCCTAGCATGTGCAGACAACAAATAGTAGATTTGATTTCTTTGGATCTAAAGAAAATAAATACAGAGTGAGTCAGAACATGAAGTCTCACTTTCTCTGCACAAGTTGTATTTCATAGAAAATTATAATACTTTGATAGTTTGCGAAATGATAAAAAAGAATAAGACCTTTGCCTAGTCTGCCCCATAAAATGATGATGGCAATACAATGGTTTGTTTGTAGAATTCAAGGTAGGCAGAAAGAGGGAAAACAGATTACAAGCACATAGACAGAAAACTGAAATCCATACAGATAAACACAATACACCATACGCATACATACAACACAATTTATGCATGTACTAAACACAGTAACACACACAGAGATAGTAGATTATCAGTACCTATGCAGCCGGAGGAGTTGCTTCTGCGCTTTATTGTTAACCCTAAACTACTTACCTTTACAACCAGCCCATTCATTTAAAAGAATACCTGTGTTCAAATGTTCCCTCCAATAAAATAAAATGATGAGTCAATGCTAGGTGCTCTCATTTTGAGCTCTGCATTATGTATTCCTTTCTACATACAATAAAATCCATACCTAGGTCTGCATAGTTAGACTTGAAAAATTGCTTGCGTCCACAAAAGTACAGTTCAAAGTCCGTTTCATTCGACCTGCGCAAAGTATATCCATTTTCAAGAGCAGCAAAAGCATCACAGGTATAACGGTAGGTGATGAAACCATAGCTGTCTCTGCAGTGGACAAAGAGAAATTTGGGCTGTTTAAGAAGCATTAACATATAGGACTGTAACCCTTTCTACTTGGTGAGACTTCACCAGTACCAGTGTCTAATCCACTATATCCATTTATCAGTATGATTGTCCTGTCAAGAAGCTAAATACTTATTTCTGAGACAGGAAATCTCAACTAGAAAGATTAATAAAGGGGGATGAAAGAAAATAAATAAGGTTCTGAACTCAACATGTCATCTGCCAAAGCACTTACACTGGCAACTCCTATCCCAGTAATCTTAGGGCCATAATTTTTTACATACGTCAGCTTCTAAATAAGAAATAATCTTGAAGATTCTCACCCATCATCCCTCAGATTTACTGTGCACTCCTCAATTTCACCAAAAACTTCAAAGCGGTCCCTCAGTTCTGTCCGTGTTGTGTCAGGTCTGATTTTATCGACGTAAATCACACGGTGCTCTTCCTAAGTGGGGGGAAGTAAGGAGAGGTTGGTTTCTGCTGGTTCTGGAGATAGGAAAGAAGACGCTGTCCTGAAAGCATCCAAAAATGTACGAGCACGCGTGAGTGGAAGTCACCAAGACCAAGCAGGCAGCCCATGCACCACACCCAAGGAAAACTACCTCTGGATCCCATTTCACTCTCCAGCACTTCTGTACTGATCGCTTCGTTTTCACCTGCACATTCTCTGCACCTCAACGCTTTTCTACTTTTCCTGACCATTCTGTTCTCCCTTCGCGTGAACTTTTCTATGTGTTAGAAAAGAAGTCTATGCAACGTGAGTATTTTCACTTATAAGTTCGAAATATTTGAATACTTGAGATTCAGTTGTTACTCGTAAAAATTGGTTTGACACTGACCTGGCGTTCAAAGCTACTTAACTTTCTCATCAACAGACAATTCTAATCGGGAGATTCTCGAATTGTGACATCCTTAAAAGAGAGGATCTCAAATTCTAGTATACATGGAAACTACTTGGTGTACTTAAAATTAAAATTATTGGAGTTTTTCCTAGTTGTACAATAAAAAAGAATTGAAAGACTAGGTTCAACAGTCTTCATTTTTAACCAGCACACCCCAGTGACTCTGACATAGGTGGTCCAAAGACAATAATGTGAGAAATCTCGTCTTAAAATATAGGCCATTTTAAGCCATGGGTCTCTGAAGAATAAGAGCTAAATAAAAAAGGCTATAAGTTTCACTTTGCCCATAGATCTACTTTTATTTTAGGAACAGACTAGAGGGGTGTGGCCTGATTTTCACAAGTGAAGTCCTATCATCATAATCTGAAAATCGTCAGCAATTTATAACCTACAAAATATGAGAAGACTAATTTGTAACCCAAAGACAGAATCCTTCACTAAAAATCAGCTGTGCATTCTTAGCGTATGAAACAATCCTATATTTTCAATTTTACGAAGACAAGGCTGATGTGGATAAAGCCTCTCAAAACTCAGAAAAAGTTACATAAGAACACAGGCGTTAACGTAGTCATACTCTATATGTGCGCTGAGGATGAACAAGAGAAAGACGAATTTGAGGTTGCAGAGACTCGTGTTAAACTGAAGCAGACAAGGAAACATGGGCCTAAGGTGCAGATTCAGCCTGCCTCGCCGTTTTCTCTAGTTAAAATTAGTTCAGGTTTAACACGAAGAGGTGTCCTACAACATTTATCGAATGTTTTTCCTGTTCGTGTGCCCAGGATTAGTAAAGAGTGACCACTCAGTATGCACTTGTGAAATGTAACTGATCGATTCAGACTCTCCAACTTCCTAGATGATCTTCTCACCCATGTCTAGTCATGTTTGATCAGATGCAGCAGCCCTGTCTCTGATTCTGTTAGGGAAGTAAGTTCCTCTGAGTACCACACGCATTCTACTAGACCTACCCCATAGGGTGGCTCTTCTGCAGGTATCTAAACCTGCACCAACATTACCAACCCAAACTCTCCAGCTTCATCTCTCCCCAGCTGGTCCTATCATCATGCTGTCATGTCGGTGACGTTAACACCACCTGGCCAATTTTTCCAGAAAAAAAAAATATGTGCATGTCTCCCTCTTTATCTTCTTCACATATCCAGTCACTAAGTCCATTTTGGTTTTACTTCCTCATCTCTCTATAATCTAGCTCCTTCTTTCTCTCTCCCATAAGCCAAGCTGCCAGCTTCTTTCCTGACTAGTATTATAGCCTTATACTTGACTCCCTGGGTCCATGATTTCCCTCCTCTAACCTGTTCTTTTCTTTCACTGCAGGCAGAAGAGTCTTTGCTGAGAAAATAGAAATCCCATTGTGCCAATTCCATCTAAAATACTTCAACGGCTTCTTGTCTCTTTTAACAAAATACATATATCATTAATGAGACCTACTGAGCATACCCCACGTGGGCCTGGTCCTGACTCCATGCACTTTATTTCCCCCCCTCTCAGTTTTTCTTTGAATCTAGTTTTCAGCCATGCAGGCATTTAATCAGTCCTTTCCCTTCTTTTCTAAGGCTTTTGAACAAGCTGTTCCTTGACTACCTGGAACAGCCTCCCCACACTGTATCCCCAAACTCTTCAATGATTGGTCTAGAATCACATTAAGCTCAGTAATCTTTGTATTTGAGACTTGGGATGAAGTCAGACTTCCTATTAGCTGCTTTTATAGAAAACTCTGTTTCTCTTTTGCAGTTCTATGCCTAATTATAACTAACTAATTAATACTTTCTTTATCTTTCAGTGTCTGTCTCTCTAATACAATAAAAGCTTCATGAAAATGGAGGCTATATTGTTCCTTTCCACTATTCTATTTTAAGGAAAACTGAAACAAACTCTCAATGAATATTTGCCATAAAGTCAATCAAATGCTAATCAATTAATCATTTTTAACATTTTCTATCTCCTTCATTACATCAAAGACGCCTAAGTGTGACCTTACCCCCTGAGCTGCTCCAACAGAAAAGAAAATGAAAGTTGGGTGCTGTGTATTATCATAGGAAAACTCTTATTCAGGTCACCTTCCTCTGGTAGCTCAGCTGAGTGACTTAACAAAAGAAATCTACATGTTTAAGCTTAGGAAGTGTAGGATAGCTACATGTTTTCAGGGTCTCACTCACAAAAGTCACCTCTAGAAATCAAAAAGGATACTCCTGAAACAGGTGATGAACCAATTCCTCTGACAATAGCTACTGAGCCCACAGAACTGACCAGCTGAAGGAGCACAAACAGATCAAGCTGCCTGAATCACTTCCACGTAGATTGTATGTCTCCATGGAAAGTGGTGATCTTGCTATTCCAGAGCATCCACACTCCTGGCAGTCAGCAAATAGAAATGGATGGCGAGGGTCACACTGGAGCAGTGCTGTGTGCATCAGTAACAGCATCGTAACTCCACATTCCATTCCATTTACGCATCCTGCTGTAGCCAAAGAGCCAACTGTGATGGGACTGTTATCTAAACTTAAACTTCTTGGCACCTGCTTGCAGGGGTGTTATGGATTTTTTTTAATGAGCTTTTTAGGAAAGTTACTACTGTATAGAGGGAAGGGAGAGGAAAATATAGAAGAGAAAGAAATTGAGCCATAGCAAAAAAAA